AGATAAGATAACCATTGTCTTCAGAACCAACGACATAGTCCTCAAAGTGATGCGTCCAAACTTCATAATATTGAGTGTATAGAATCGGGATTCTGGTTGTGGATCCAATGCTATTGGAGATATTGATCGGATTGGTTTGTGAATCTTCGTGAGACATGATGACCTTTTTCAGATATCTGCTAAGAATCAAACTTGTAAAGATTGAATAGGGTAATATCGAGATCTATGAACAACGTCAATGAAGGAATGACGGCTCAACACATCCAATAAAAGCGGAAACCCTAAGAAAATTCTTCAAACAGAAGAGATGCGTATGATTTACACAGCCTCCTGCTCTGATACCAATTGATGAGAATAATATTCTCTAAGATCGATAGATTCAAACAGATATCAATAAGACAATAACAAGTAATAGAAAACGATAAGCACCACGATGAATCAAACGAGTGGTGAATGATTAATCCGCTCCACCTCAAAAGAATTCAATGAGAATTGCTACTGTAGAGGTGTGCTAGGGTTACAGTACAAGATCTGTAAAATAATAATCAAGAAGCGTTATCAATATAATGAATGCATGCACTATATATATACTAAACCCTAAAACAAAACATGGATGGACAGGCCCAGACCGAGTATACAAATGGACCTAAGAGCTAAGCCCAATGGCGCAACCTCTTAGACTCAACACGAAGCTTAGTGAGTTCCCCCATCGTACCACATACCATACAACATACTTACTGTCGGGCAATTCTGGGGTGCCCGACCTACCCTGCCAAGCATTTCTGGGGTGCCCGACCTACCCATGTCAAGCAGTTTTGGGGTGCTTGACCTACCCTGTCAGGCAATTCTGGGGTGCCCGACCTACCCTCGGGTCCTTACGACCGTGTCACGGGGATTATTCCCCTTACTGCTACTATCACATATCAACATATCGTGCTAACACATAAAACATATCAAGTAGTAGCAAACCTAGATAATTATCACAAAGACAATCATCTAATCAAACAACTCCTGCTAGTGGGTCGGCATTGTAGCCGTAGACCCATTTCTACTGCAAGGTAACTCACCTCGTAAAGCAGAGTGTCGAATCTCATGGGAAGTAACCTCTAACAGCTGCTTCGATGACTCCCGGCTATCATAATCATAATAATACTCAATCATAATCTATAACACTACTTAGGGTAAAATGACCATTTTACCCCTGGCCTAACTTGAACCATTCCTAAGGCCCAATTCTAAGTTATTAAACCCAGTACACCCATGGCCCATCAAAGGCTCCCTAAGGCCCACTAATGGCCTAATTTTTTAAATTGGGCCCAACACTTCAAATGGGCCTTTTACAAGTCCAATAAGTCCTTAGCCCAAAATGAATAATCTTGAATGGCCCAATATGGCTCAAAAGGCCCAATGCTTCTAATTCCAAATTCTCGGGCCCAGAACTATACTCCACAGTGGGCCACAGGGCCTAATATTCCAGACCCAGCCCTCTAAGGCCCAAAATCCAAGGTATGGGCCAAACCGAGGCCCAAAACATGCCAAGCCCATATATGTTGAGTACGCAGGGCGTACTCCTCTTTAAGCTAAGCGTACTGGTTAAATGGCGTGTACGTTGCGCGTACCTGCATGTACGCCCAACATACTTCCCTGCTAAGTCATGTTTCCCATTAAGTTCTTAATACTCTAATACAAAGGCTATAATTACAGATCCAAGTCCTCTTTAATGTCTTGATCCATAAAGTCGATCACTTGGTGGCTTGTAACCCACCAAATGAGCCCAAACATTGAATAATAGGAACTAACTCCATAGAAATGGCTAGATCTCATGCCTGATTACATAAGGGCCTTAAAGGTTGAAACTTTACTACTAAAGGAAGGCTTTGAGCTCCAAGGGTGGCAACCCTAAGCTCAAAAACGAAGTTAGGAGCTTTATACCTCCTTTGAGTGCCAAAAGATGAAATAGTCCCAGATCCTTGAGCTCAAGATACTCAAGTTCTTCTTCTTCAACTCTTCTTCTCTTCTTCCAAGCCTTTCTTCACCAAAAATAAGCTCAAAAGGTCAAAAACACACAACAATGGAGTATGAGGGCGAATTAGGGTTTTGTGAGGGTAAGGGGCTAGTAAGGAGGCCAGTGGGGGGCTATAATGGGGTATTTATATGTCTTAAACCCTAAAAATTAGGGTTTGGGCATCTGCTCACGTACGCTGCGCGTACTCCTGGTACGCTGCGCGTACGTGTGCGTGTCCCCCGCAACCAAGGGGCCTCTACGCCCCACGTACTCCAAGGCTACGCCCAGCGTACGTCTTATGGGCGGCCCAAAATCTCGGCCCACTTGCTTAAGGTCCAATCCAAAAGTCCACTTGTCCCATTATTAGTCCAATTAATAAATGTTAATTACTTAATTAAATAATACCTCGAGAGACGGATGTTACACAACGTCAAATGGATGCAGTTGTCTGTGTATTACGTTATCTCAAAACAACTCCAGGACAAGGCATTTTCATTCCTAAAGATGGAGGTCTAAACCTTGTTGCATATTGTGATTCAGATTGGATTGGATGTACATATACACGAAGATCTCGAACTGGTTACTTGTTACTTTTAGGGGGAGCGCCAGTTTCATGGAAAACTAAGAAGCAATCAGTGGTATCTCGCTCATCTGCTGAAGCTGAGTATAGGGCTATGGCAACTATCGTGAGTGAAATTTTATGGATGCGTTGGTTGTTAGAGATATTGCAGGTACCTCAACATGGTCCAACAAAGCTTTTCTGTGATAATAAAGCAGCAAGACATATAGCTAATAATCCAGTCTTCTATGAAAGAACCAAACACGTCGAAATGGATTGTTATTTTGTACGTGAAAGAGTTGAGTCGGAAGAAATTAAGACTTGCAGTATGGACACAAAAGAGCAGGTTGCGGATCTTTTTACTAAAGCCTTGCGTAAAGATCGCTTACGTTTTTTACTTGACAAGTTGGATATTCGAGATCTACATGCTCCAACTTGAGGGGGAGTAAAGGAATTATTGTTTATTTTGATATCTTAGAGTTTATCATATACGTGTGTAGAGGATAATGCAGTGTTTATCTTTATTTTAAACTTTGCTTGTTACCTAAGTTTTAGCCTCCTGATCATAACATAACAGGAGGGATCGATCCGATTCTGTAAGTATATATACCCATTTTTGGGTTTAATGAAAGTAGTTTTTTTGAACCATCAAACTATTTATATGGGATTAGCCTGCACATAAGAGTGATACGAAAACGTTAAGGAATGCCTAATCAACATGGTAAACCCATGGCTTACCAGGCCGGCCACCCCTGGCATCCCAAATCGACTATGCAGTCGGCAAGGCAATAATTTATATCAAGAAAATCGTCCGTGCAAGTACTTATGCAATATTTCGGGAAATACTAAAAAGGCAATACTATTATATTGAATGGTTCTATGCTTGCAACCTTTGGATAAAGTCATCACCCGGTCGACAGGGCAAGAACCTAGACCATTTCCTTTGTATATAAGACCTCGACACGCATTAGTAAAGACACAACTTTTTTATGATACGGAAGTTTGCAGCTTCCATGCTCGACATCTAAATTAGGCATCGAGAGCAATAATGGAGTCTATCCTTCGGTATCGCTTTGATACTTTCTAACCTAGTATTCATCTATTTTGTATTGTGTCATCATGTTTGTGCATTAAGAAAGGGGATCATTTGAAAGCTATGAGACATCCAGGATCCTACGTAGCAACACTGGCATCATTGTTTTTCTTCTTGTTTCCCCATCGTCATTGTCACTTTGCTTTGATTCAATGTGATGAGGATCTGAAATTGCTTTGATTAACGAGGTGCATTCTAATAATATTTTGAATGGTAATTGTTTATTTAAACCATAATCTAGAGTTGCATTTCTCAAGGAATATGGAAAATCTGAAAGAGATAGAAAGTGGGGTGGTGGGGTTATTAAAAAAATAATTAAAAAACAAATTTACCTATTAACGAAAAGACAAAATACGGACAAAAACATCTTTTCACAAACACGTAATAGCAAATTTCTAACAGGAAGAGACCTGCAAAGAAAACAAAGCTAAAGGACAAATGAAGTAAGAAAAAAAAAACATAGACCGAAGCTGCAAGAAGCACCAAACCACATGGACCACTTGTGTCATTTAGTCTTATTAAAAGTAAAGATGTACCTACGAGATCCTTTTACACTAACAAACACCGTATCCAACTCCTCCTCCATTAAAAACAAACAAGACGTAAGCAAACTCACAAAAGAGTAAAAACATAAATCTGAATAAACAAATATCGAGGCTCAGCTCAGGGAATTAGTAGCCGCGTAAAACAAATAAGCCTCCCAACTCCCATTCTCACTGTCTTCCGCTTATATAAATATGCATTCAACTCTTAAACAAACTCCACAACTGTTTCTCCTTCTCACAATAACCATGAAGAAACCTGGATTCTTAGCAGCGTCCATCGCCGCCGCTTCTGCTACAACCGCCATTAATGGCACCAAAACTTCTCACGAGGTAAAACACTTACGAAACCCTTTTGAAATTGTAACAGGATCCAATCAAATGATTTATATGGTTCATGGTTGATCGTATTACTTAATTCTAATCGATTCAACCTTGTTTCAGTTTTTAATTTCCCTCGCTCTAGATCATCCAGTAATGAATCGAATCCTTGGTTTTAATTGTTGTGTAGGAACGTGGAATTTCGATTAAACATCAGACAGATTCTTCGCAGGAGAAGATGAGTTGTTGCTCGGAGAAATTTGCGCCGAGGTTTGATGGATTGAGGTTTATAGAAACGCTTATAACTGCTCATAGATGACGAGAAGCCTTTGGAACTCTGAGATCTACGCTATTTGATAAGGATAAATCGGAGACTTTCTTTTTTAATGTTTAAGTCTGATTTGAATCCATTTCAATTTGGTTTCATAAAGCCGAAGGCTTTTTGTAATCAACTCATTATTATCAATTCATGTGTCTCAATCCAAATTATGTGGATTTTTGTGCATCTCAACACCAAGACAAGTGGACAAATGGTTATCTTGGTTTTTTTTTTTAATTATTTAATGAAATAATTTAAATAATAATTAAATACTTGTTTTATATTATACGACCCAAATAATATGAGATAATCCATGTCAGAACAATCCTATTAGGGTCGAGTACTTGGACCTTACCGGTTTGGATTGATTCTAAGGATCATGGACCAAACTGACTGAGGCATATTGGTACCGGTGTCGGTTTTTCGGTTTTTGGAACGGTTGGACCGGTATATCATTCATTGCATATGGTACAAGTCGTTAAAGCATTAATGAAAGTTAGATTTTTTATGCTAGAGTTAATTTTATAGGGAAGAATAGTATTACGAGACTTAAAACAAATACGTGTTTGAGTACTCTACCAAGATCATTTTCAAGTAACGCCGCCATATCTGTCATCACACTGAAGTCCGAATGTTCTTGTACTCTACCACGAACCTTTTCATACGTTTTTATGTCAAAAAAAAATAAAGAATGAATTAGGACTAATCATAAATGCGGAAAATAAGAAAACATAAAAGACGAAAAGTTTTTAACTATTGTTATCCCAATTTTGAGGGATTGTAACTCATTGAATAAAAAACCAAAAATGATGAAATTATAACCTAAATTGAAATAAAAACTCTAAATTCCATGTTAAGAAAGATCTGGTGTCAATCTAACTTCAAACGAATGAATTATGAAATATTTCAAAATTTCATAAATTACACTATAAAATCTGAAAAATGAAAAACTTGCAATTTTGATACCTCGAGTTTTGGGGTTATAACTCATTGAATATGGAACCTAAAATAAAGAAGTATAGCCTAAAATGAAGAACAAACTCTAAACTATATATGGTAAGGATCTCATATCAATCTGACTTCAAACAAATAAATTATGAAATATTTAAAATTTTCATAGATTACATAGAAAAATGGTCCAAAGTTGGAAATTGGTAAAACGAACCGATTCAAAAACTAGAACTGTTTGTGTGTAATTTATGAACCGATAACCGATGAGATAGCATAAAACTGATGTCGGTCTAGGTACGGGTCCTTGTCTAGTCTGGTCCACATGTTCGGATACTCACCCCTAAGTTGTGTTAGGCTTTCAATAATGACACGAATACAATATAAAAATTATTTAAAAAAGCGCTCTTATTGACATGTCATCAACTACTTAATTAAATATTAGAGTAAATTACACGGATGGTCCTTGTGGTTTGGGGTAATCTGTGTGTTTAGTCCCTAACTGTTTTTTTAACTCGGACGATCCTTATAACATCTTTTTGTTGCGCGTTTGGTCTCTGTCGACCTAAAAAGACTATTTTGCCCTTAATGACTATTTTTATTTTGTTAATTCCTTTTTTATTATTCAAATTATTATTAAATAAATTAAATTATTAATGCATTGTTGGAAAAATGACCCACCCCGCATTAGTCCTCTTATAGTTCCTGCCACCACCTCCGGTCACCATCTCCGATAATAGATCTAGTTTCCGGCACCAGCTCCGGTCATCGTTCCGGCAATAGATCTAATCAACATATTAAACACAAATCCAAAATTAAACCTGTAACTCAAATCCAAAAGCAAAATAAAACCTGAAACTGAAATCTAAAACCAAACCAAAGCCTACGATGCAAAGCCAAATCTAAAATCAACGATGCAACTCAAACTAAAAGCCAGAACAAAAATACATTATGCAAAAATCACAGATAAAATCACAAATGCGAAAATCCAAAATACAGTCCCAAATGAAAATTAGTTAATAAAAAACAAACCAAGATTGAATCCTCTTTCGTTGGTAGTATAATAACAACTCGTCGATGCGTTCACAGCTTTATGTCGATCCTCAAATAACTACCAGCCTCCTTTATTTTTCATATACCCGACACCACCAGCAACTATAGACGTTGACAGGCATCAACAGTGAAGAAGATGATCATACCGGAAGTGGGTTATGATGTCGGTATTGTAGGCCAGGCAAGGGGATGGGCGATGCAGGCTCCGATAAAGGGAGAATATGGATGTGTTGACATGGAAGACGAATCAGTGATACACCTGAAGGAGAATGAAGGGTTAGTGAGTGCTGAAAATCCATCGTCGTCAGAAACCAAACGATGAACAAATGATGCAATCAATTCACCACCTGATGCAAATCGATTTCCAGAACCAAATCGATGAAACTGAATTCAAACATTAAACTAAAATTCGATCTTGAAATCTAACTCAAATTTGAATTTGAAAATCAAAATCAAACCTAAAACTAAAATAAAACTGAAAATCAAACTCGAAATCAAATGTAATCGATGATATACATTTGGTTTGGGGCACCGAAAAGGGAAAAGGGGCAATTGAAAATGGCGTTCGAGAGCATGCTTCACCTCCGCCTTCTCCGACGAACGTTGTCAATATTCCTTAAAGGAAGAACATGAGTGTAAGACCACCACAGGACGCCGATGGCGGGGGCTACGTATGTTGGGGTGAGGATGGTGGCGGGGCTGGTGATCGATGAAGGAAGACGTCGATGGATAAACCTTAAGGGAAGAGGACAGAAGATGTTGGTAGAGAAAATGTGTGAAATGAAATCAAAGAAGTGGGAACAATTAGATTAGGTTTAGGATTTTTATTTTTATTTTTTCTTTTTTATATTTATTTCATATAATAATAAATCAGAAAAATAAAAGAAAAAAACAAATAAGGGTAATATAGTCATTTTAGGCCTATCAGGGACCGAACTCGTAACAAAAATACTTCTTAGGTACCGTCCAAGTTAAAAAAAAGATTTAGGAACCAAGCGAGCAGATTACCCCAAACCACAGGGACCATTCGTGTAATTTATTCTAAATATTAATAAAAATATTATTTTTTTAAAATATGAATAATAAATCTTTAAAATATATATAAAATAATTAATAATAAAAAAATAATTAGTTTAATTTATAATAAAATCATAATAATAAATTATTTAGTTTAATATTTTAATAGTATAATATTTTACAAAAATTACTTCCATCAAAACTCTAGAATAAAGAAAAAAGAAAAAGTAGTTTATCTCTATATCTCATTCTTTTTTCTTTCTCCATGTTTTGCAAGTCTTTCTAATTTTGCAAGTGAAAGTTATAGTTGGCATTGCAAGTTGGTTTGCAAGATTAATTGACATTGATTGTGGTTGCTTTTATGTATAACGACTTTAACAATTTATAATAAAATTACTCGTGTGTATGATTGGTTAGGGAATTGTTCACTGTTCTTTAGCCATAAATAATGTTTTTTTCTAATAATTTGCTTGAAATCAGAAAAAAATAATTTCATTAGCATGAATATATTCTTAAGACCAAAGTTTATAATAAACGATTTAAACAAAATAGATGATGAGGAAGAAGTATAACCTAAGTATAGGGTTGATGATCCCAACATCAAATAGGACAAGATGGAACCAAAACTTGGTGATATATTTGAATCCGTTGAGCAACATAAATTATGTGTTGCAAACTATGTTGTGTCCCATGGGTATCAAATATATTTTGCCAAGTTTGATAGTGTTAGAATTATTGCAAAATGTGGGAAAAGAAATGAAGACAACCAATGCCCTTTCATATTGCATGCTGCTTGGATGTACAAGGAAAGGTCATTAAAAATCAAAACTATGACTAGGATCCACAAATGCTCTAGGTCATTCACTTTTGGTTCAATTGTGTCTCCTGAATGGATTGGGAGACATTACATGACTGAGATTTCAAACAAGCCAAAGCTTAAGCTTAGGGAGATCATAAGTGATATTAAACAAACATTTAGATGTGATGTGTCTATTGGCCAATGTAGGAGGGCAAAAAAATAGGCAAAAGAGTTAATTGAAGGAAAGTTAACTGAGCATTATGCAAGAATATAGGACTAGTCCTATGAGCTTTTAAGATCAAACCATGGGTATACTTGCAAGGTTAGTGTCATCAACAACCCTGATGGAAAGAGCTATTTCCACAGATTTTGTATCTGCTTTAAGGCTTTAAGTAGTGGGTGGAAAAGTTGTTATAGAAAAGTGATTGATTTAGATGGATGCTTCTTGAAAGGTGAGGTGAAAGGTGAACTGTTGACAACAACTGGAAGGGATGCAAACAACCAAGTCTATCCAATAGCTTGGGTTGTTGTAGATGTGGAGAATAAACCTAATTGGACTTGGTTTTTGGAGCTCATACATGATGATCTAATGTTGGATGGTGGTAGAGGGTTGGTTATCATATCTGATCAACATAAGGTACTTTTAGTTGCTATATTTTGTATTAATATACTATATAATTGAAATGTTTTGTATTAATTTTCAATGTACTTATATGTTTCAGGGCTTACTGGAAGCCGTGAAAGACATTTTGCCACATGTGGAGCACAAACAATGTGCTAGACACATTTATGCAAACCTCAAGAAAGCTTACACCGGATTAAAATTCAAAACACTTTTATGGGCTTCAGCAATGAGTTGTGTAGAAGGAGACTTCAAGAAACATATGGTTGAAATAAAGAAGCTTAGTCCTAGGGCATATGAATGTTTGATGTCCAAACAACTTGGAACTTGGTGCAGAGCTAACTTTACTCCAGGGTTTGCATGTGAAACAGTTGAGAATGGAATCTCAGAATGCTTTAACTCCATCATATTAGAAGCTAGGAAAAAGCCTTTGATACAATGCTTGAGGAGATAAGAATCTACATAATGGATAGGTTTGATCACATGACTGATAAGTGTAACAAATGGAAGACCGATGTGTGCCCAAATGTGTTAAAAAATGAACCTTTTTGGGAAGTACATGAGGTATGTATTATTTAGCCAATTGCATTTGTATTTTATAAATCAATGTTCTTATGTTAATGTTTTTAAATTTATGTGCCAATTTCTGGTTTGGGATGGTTATTAATAGCCAAGGTTCAGTGTTTAGATCTAGGTTCAATTATGAAAGTTTTAAGGTAGACTTGGAGGCCAGGACTTGTACATGCAGGCTTTGGGATCTTTCTGGAATCCCTTGTGTTCATGCAAA